GCTAGGTGAGTGCTCTACCTCTGAGCCACAGTCCTAGCCTTCTTGTGTAGCTTTTTATTTTATTTTTTTTAAATATTTATTTTTTAGTTTTAGGTGGACACAATATCTTTGTTTTATTTTCACGTGGTGCTGAGAATTGAACTCAGGGACTCACGCATACTAGGAGAACGCGCTACCACTTGAGCCACATCCCCAGCCCTCTTGTGTAGCTTTTTAAATAATAGTTTCACTGAGATATGATTCATATATTACATATTTCACTTGTTTAAAGTGTAATGTGGTTTTATATATTTTAGTCATTTTAAGTGTACCGTTCAGTGGTGTTAATTACGTTTACAGCATTGTGCAGTCACTATAATTAACTCTTTTTTAAAAACATATTTTTAGTTGAAGATGGACACAATACCTTTATTTTCTTTCTTTATTTTTAGGTGGTGTTGTGGATGGAACCCGGGGCCTCACACGTGCTGGGTAAGTGCTCCACCACTGAGCTCAACCCCAGCTCCATCCTTCATTAACTTTTTTCAAAATGTCTCTGTCACTACAAGTAGAAACTTCAGTCATCAAGTAACCACTCATCTCCCATAACCAATAGCCTCAGGAAACGGTTTATTCCACTCCTCTATGAGTCTTCCTATTCTGGATGTTACATACAAGTGGAACCACACAATATTCATCCTCATATCCTGGAAATCTGGCCTATTTCACTCAGTGTAATATTTTCAAGGTTCATCCATGTGCAGGATGTGTCAGAATTTCATTCCTGGACACGACTGTGTGTATATATCACATTTTATTTATCCCTTCATCGTGGATGGATGCTCATTACTATGAATAATGCTGTAATGAACACTGGCATAAATTATCAACATATATACTTGTGTGTGTATGTACATGTGAAGGTGCAGGACCTCTGCGTTCCTGGAATAAATCTCAAGTGGTCACTGTTTGTTGAAAGACACAAATCTACAAATACAAGAGGCTCAATGAATCCCAAATAATGTACACTCAGAACATATCTGCTCAAGACACAGAATCAAACTGAACAGGCAAAACAGAAGGAACTTGAAGGCATCAGGAGAGAAGTGATTTGTCAATCACAAGCAACCCTTGTGAGAGGAATAGTTAATTTCCCATCAGAGACCAGTGGGGACCAGAAAGCAGTGGTATAGCACATTTTACTGAAGGAAAAAAAATAAGATAATTTTGTGTCTACCAAAAATGGCCTTAAAACATAAAGGAGAGACTAAGACATTCTCCAGGTAAACACAAGCTGAGGGCATGTGTCACCTCCAGACCTGCCCCATAAGAAACAGCACAGGGCTGACCTGGAAGGACACCCCGCCGGATCCATGAAACAGGTGACTGTCTCCACAGCACCAATGTGGTAAATATGTGGGCAAGTGGAAAGGCCAAAACTGTTGTATTTTTGGTTTGTAACTCCTCTTTTTATTTCCTATGTTATTGAAAAGAGAATAAATATAAATATTATGGGCAAAACAATGTGTAAAAGATGTATATGGATAAAACTCAACCAAAAGGCATAGATTGCCAGAATGATAAAAACAAAACAAAAAACAGGATTCAAGCTGGGCCTGGTGGCACATGCCTGCAATCCCAATGGCTTGGGAGGCTGAGGCAGGAGGATGGCAGGTTTGAGGCCAGCCTTAGCAATTTAGTGAGACTCCATCACAAAAAATAAAAAGGGCTGGGGATGTGCTCAGTGGTAAAGTCCCCCTAAGTTCAACCTCCAATTGAATGAATGAATGAATGAATGCAGGATCTGAATATGTGCTGTCTACAAAAGACCCACTTTAGCTCTAAGAACACACAGAGGCTGAAAGTGAAGGGGTGGGAAATACATCAAGACAAACAGGAAACAAAAGCGAGCAAGGCAGCTCCGCCAGGATGAAAATAACAGACTCTGTCCAAGACTGTCACAAGAGACAGGGACATCATGCAAAAGGGCCAACTCACCAAGAAGACACAGCAATGGCAAATACATGTGCACCAAACACCAGAGCTTCTAAATATGCAAAGCAAGCAGCGGCAGCCTTGGAGAGAGAGTCCCTCCTCAATAACTGTAGATGTCCGTGTCTTCTTTTGACCCTGGATAGAGCAGCCAGAGGTCAGTAAGGATGCAGGACCCAGCAGGACACGCTGGGCCCAAGTGTCCTGCACATTAGACACTGCACACTGGCAGCCTAAGGCACTGCTCTCCAGCGCACAGGCCCCGGGAAGCGTTGGCTGCACCTCTTGTGATAGTAGCACATTCAAAAGTAAGTCCTACCTAGAGTCTTACTGCAGCATCCCAGGAGCAGGTCAGCCCATCCAAACCCGAAACTCATCCATCAGGAGCGCTTTCCCAAAGCTACCCCTCCCCCTGTGCCCAGGCCGGTCCCTTCCTTTTCCCGCTCCCGCTGTCTGTTTCTGACTCCAGCCCATCCAGCTTTCAAGGTGCCTCGTGGAGCCTCCACTTCTCCCAGCAAGGTGAGTTCAGCTGCTCTCTGATCAATCACACATCGGAGGCCTCCTTGAGTCTAGGAAATCCACCACTGTTAGATATTGTTAGGGGGCAGGGACCCCCTCCCATTGTGGAAGCCCAGAATGCATCTTGCACTTTCCTGCTCCCTGGGGTGGTGGGCAGGGACTAGAGAACTGGAGGACACTTAGCCATTTGAAGCCTCCGGTGCCCGATTTTACCTCCGAGACACGTCACTCCAGTCCAGCCAGCTCCAGCTGTCCCAGCACCCAGGTGGCCCTGGGTTGGAGCTGACCTTCTGGGCTCTGGCCTCAATCAACCCAGGCTCTGCAGGTGCCTTTCAAGAATGGCCAGAGTTAGTTTCAGTTGCTGCACCAGGCCTCACCCGTGAAGTCTCTCCTATCCGTCCTGCCTCTCTCCATGGGTCTGAAGAAATGACTCAGTGTCTCCCAGTATCTGTTTCCTAGGATGTTTAGGTAGGCATATGGCCCAGAACAATGGCTGCTTCTTGTGTCTCTTTTAGCCGGTGGTGATCTGGGTGGGGAGGGGAACCTGAATTTGCAGGAGCAGAGCTGGGAACCTACAGCCTTTTGGAAAGAAGTGCAGAGGAGTGTAGTTTTGGAAGTAAAGCTGACTCCCTCGCGGCATGCACAGATTCCATGGCAGAAAGCAAGGCCAGAAATCTGCAGGTTTCGCCCAGGAGCCTCTGGCTCACCCTACCTCCCCACCAGCGGTTTCTGAGTACCTAGAATGTGCCAATCAGCGTGCAGAACTGGAAAGTATCTGCTCTCTTCAAAGAAGGCAAGGTTAATTAAACTGTTGGCCACCTAAGCAGGGGCGGAGCTTCACCCAAGAGGCAGCAGTGGGTGTAGTCTGCGTACAAGTGGTTAAACTGTGAAATCCTCTGAAGTGGGGTGTCCTGTAATAATATGTTCCAGGTGGAGAGGGAGGCCTCCCAAGGCTCCTTGGCAGAGGTTAATGGCTCCCTCCCTTGGTTCAGCCTTGACCTTTGCACCGGCTCTGGAGGCCCAGACTGTCCTCTACCTGGCTGGGTGGTGGGATTCAGGCTGGACTAAGCCTCCAGGGCCAGGCTGCACCAGGTCCATTCTGTGACAAAACTGCTTCTGCCCTTGAGGAGCAGACAGGCTGCCTAATTTTCCTGGTGACCCCCTTCTAGTTCCTTTGCACAGGCGCTCAGGTGTGGACTGGGTGGAATGTTGCATGGGCGCTGAGGCCGCTGGCTGACTAGGAGCAGCAGTCTGTCTTTCCTTGGTGTCCAGTGCACACCTTTACTCACATGCTCCACCTGCCCTCCTCTGTGCAAACCTACGCCCACTGTCTCCTTTCCTGTGGGTTCACAGGAAAGTACTCCAGAGCATACCCACGCCTGGCTCTTCTTGTCCATGCGCGTGCGGATACACACGCAAAGGCGTGCATAACGTCAGCCCCTTCTTGGGCACAGGCATGCATATCTGGGTGCATACCGTTGGCCCTTTAGTGCACACACTTGGCCCGTCTCTGGGCGACACAGTTCTTCTTCTCTTACATGTACTTACAGGTAGGCACACATGCAGCCCTTCTCCAAGTAGGCATCAGACATGCTCACACGTGGCTCCTCTACTCCTTGTGCACACACAGGTGTGAACACAACTGGCTCTGCCCCATGCAAGCTCAGAGGAGTACACACACGTGGCCCCTTCTCCGTGCGCACTCACATGCATACATACAAGTTGGCCCATCCTTGCGCACACACAGGCACACTCACATGTGTCCCCTCTGTGCGCACATGCACAGGTATACATACATTTGGCCTTCTCGTGCACACACAGAGGCACGCACACACGTGGCCCCTCTCCATGCGCACACAGGCGAGCGCGCACCGCGCGCTCTGGCGCCAGCCCGTCTCCACCCGCGCCCGGCGCACGCGCACTCGAGAACGCGCGCGCGTCCGCACCCCCAGGGCGGGCGGCACCGGCGGGAGGAGAAGGAGC